ATTTGAAAATAAAATAAAATTTTATTTAAACAAATTAATTCCACATAGAAAATTAAATTTCTGTAACACTTCAATAATTAAAATACCGAAACAAAATTTTAATTAATGAACACTCAGAAATTATTTCTGTAAACCAAAATTAATTTTCTGAAAAATTTTACAAATAAATATTCTGAATTGTCAATGACACCAATATATTACTACTAGCTATCAAAGAAAATAGACAGTATGTTACTACTATCTGTCAAACAGTATATAACTACTATTTATTTTTTCAACCAGAATATTATTTTGTAAAACCACCAAAAAAAAAAATTCTGTAAGAAGAAAGAGAAAAGGAAACAAACGAAAAATTATGTATAAATAGAATAATTCGAATCTGTCTTAAGATTGTTGGAACAATTTTTTTGTGTAAAATAAATAACTTGAAACAAATCAAACAAATAAAAATAAATTACTTACAAAATTTATTTTACCGAAATGTAAAAAGAACAAAAAAGATTAAGTCGAGCATGTGACGCTTTGTCCTTAAGACAGATTCGCCCCACTACAATACTTACAGATAAAAGGCGTCTATCTCCTAAGATACTATGATCTTCACAAATTGTAATAGCACTCCAAACAATTCGTACGGCGAACTAAACCTGTGTTCTATACTCTCAAAGTATTCCTTAAAAATTATTATGAAGAATTATACAAAGAAAGAGCAAAATGGAAAGGGAACGGCTTTTTCTGGATGTTTTTCAGATCTAGAAATCTGCTGGAAAGATCTCTATTTATAGGCAAGAAAGTGAGAAAGAGACCCTTCAAATCTGTCCGAATAGGTATGAAAAACCTGAACAGATACATTTTGAAATTCAAACAGATCTAGAGCAGTTTCAACAGATAACTGCATGGCAGTTAAATCTATCTGGAAGAAAACTGAACTTGTTCAGACTCTTGGGCAGTTTGGACAGTTGGAAATGGCTTTGTTTGGACAAAAAAATTTGGTGTAAAAATTAAATTAATTTCATTCTGAAATTCAAATAATTTTTCCCGTAAGAATTTGAAAAAATTCAAATAAATTTTGACCAAAAAATTAATATTAGAACTGACCCGACCCACACCCGGCACGGCTTGGCCGGCGCGCGCGTGTGGTGGTTTGAGCCAAGGTTCAAATTATCCATAACTCCTCCATTTTACAAACTTGGGATGCCGCTTGGGACCCAACCCAAGTGTTGCCACCTAGAACTTATATACACACATAAGTTCTTTTAAGCTTCCAATGTGGGACAAGCATTACAAGGAAACCCACATTTAATTCTTTAATTGTCCATTCCACGAACTCGAAAACGACGTCAAGTTCCTATTCACTTATAAATGGTTTTGATGAACCGTCTTCACCGGGTGTCTTGCCATGCAGCAAGGAACACGTCACCTCTTCAGACACACTCCAAAAAAACGTGTGGGACCCACTCAATTTTGGGCTCAAAGTTGGCCCAAAATAAGTCCATAAAACCAAATTTTCCAACATCTTATTTTTTTATATATATTTTTTGTATTTAGTAAATTTTAAAAAAAAATCATAAATATTATACTTCTTAACTGTATTTATGTTAAGCGTATCTAAAAATTTTAAAAAATACTCAAAATATTTAAAAAAATTCATTAAAAACAAAAACAAAAACACCAAAAATAAAAATAAAAATTCAATTTTCTAAAAAATGAATCACAAGTTATGAAACCAAACAAGCTTAATATTCTTATATGTATAAATTAGTGTATACTTGTGCCTAAAGATACAATGTAAATAAAATAAGTGAGTAAATAGGAGAAAATAAAAAAAAAACAAAAAAAAAACAACAAAGAAATAGGAAGAAAAATAAAAAATGAGGATGGAAGGAAAGAATGTGGGCAAGAGAGAGAGAGAATGCATGAGTGAATAAAAAAATGAGAAAAGAAAGTGGATGAGAGAGAGAGAGAATGCATGAGTGAACAAAAAGAGAGGAAAAAAAAGGTAGATGAGTGGGCGTGAGAGGCAGAGAGGGAATGCATGAGAGAGCAAGAAGGAGAGAAAATAAAGTGGGTAAGCCTGTTCAAAAAAAAAGAAAGTGAGTGAGTGAGTGAATGGAAATTAAAGAAATCTTGATGCTAAGATAAATTAAGAATTAATTTCAACCATTGATATAAAATATATCTCTTAGATATTTTGACACATTTTCAAAAATAGTCCTACTTTATTATATAGATTATATCATGTATATCCTCTATAAAATTATAATAGTATCCATTCTTAAAATCGTAATAGTATCCATTTATTATAAATTTTTCTTCCAATTATAAGGAATCTATTAAAATGGATCCTTCTATTATACATTTTCAAAAAAAATGTATCATATACAAGTTATGACTTTGTAGTATTAATATTATAAAGTGTCATAACCAAATTATTTTCATTTATAACTAAAATAACCACTATATAAATTATAACTGAGCAACACATCTTCAATCAAAATAAATAAATAAATAAATAATCACGATAAGTTATAACTAATATCAAAATGAATCATAACTAATCATTACTTGATATATTACCAAAGACCTCTTCAGTTATAATTAAAATAACAACCACAAGAAGTTATAACTAAGTTATAGCTAACACTATAATGTGTCACAACTAAAAATCAAAAAAAACCATAATTGCAGCATATGATAGACGATTATTTTACGGTGTTTTTATTGAATTTCTCCTCTAAAATATATCGTTTCTATTTCAACTTATCTTCTTCTTTTTTTAATTTTTCAATCCATCTAAAATAATTACTCTCTAATATTTGTATAAAAGTTAACACCAATTCTTTTAATTTAAAATTTAAATTTATCCAAATAGACTTTTAATATTTAAGTTTAGCAATATCTCATTATTGTTTATTATGAGAAGAAAAAAATCTACTGAATTTTCTATTGAATTTATCTAAATAGACTTTTAATAGTTGAGTTTTCTAAAAAAAAATTTCAAAAAATTTTATTTTCTTATTTTCCATATTTTTTTGTTTTTACTAAACTTTTTTAATTTTTAAACACACTTAACATAAATACACTTAAAAAATATAATTTTTTTGAAAAAAATCTTCTAAAAAATACACTAAGGCTTCGTTTGGGAACAGGCTAATTTAGTAACTTTTTGGCTATTTGGCTAAAATATGAGCTAAAAAAAACTAGTATGTTTGGGATGACTTTTTGGCTTTTTATGAAAAGATGTGCAAAAAGTAGAGAGAAAAGAGAATCTTTGACTTTTTGGTATGGGTTGTTGGCTTTTTGGCTAATTTAGTAACTTTTTGACTTTTTGACTAAAAGGGAAGGTTGTCAAACGAGGCCTAAATACTAAAAATGCAAAAAATTAAAAATTCAATACATTTTTATATATTTTTTTATGTATTTATTAATTTTTTAAAATATTTTTTCACAAATATTTTACTTTTTAGATACATGTAAGTAAGATGTCGGGGTGTAATTTTGGCCCTGGCCCGAGCCCGGCTCGACCCATCTGGGCTCAGGCCAGGCCGGGCCGAGCCACTTCGAGTTTTGCAGGCTTCTACAAAAAATCAAACCGGCCACAGGCTAAAAAACTAAGCCCAGGTCCAAAGGTATTCGGGCTTTGGGCTTCAAAACGATGACACAGGCCCTAGTTCAAGGCTTCGGACTGGGTTTCGACTCAGGCCTAAACGGGCCTTAACGAGCAGAGCCCATCTCTGGCTTCAGGCGAGCTTCAAGCTGCCGATGAACCACGGGCCAAAATTACACCCTTAGTAAGATACATCTAAAAAAGAAAAAAAATATATTTAAAATTTAAAAAATATTCACTAAAAATAAAAAAATACAAAAAATAAAAAAAAAATTAATTTTTAAAAATTTAATTCGAAAATCTTAATTCGAACACACTCATATTATTATTAATTTGTGCCCCTTAACACTATATTTGGTTGAAAATTTTGAGGAATTTAAAAAAAAACAAAAAAGCACGTAAAACTAAATAAAATATAAATATATCTATTCACATTTCATATATATTTTTAATTTTTCTTTTTAAATCTCTTTTCAAATCCTCTAATCAAACACTATAAATAAATTTCTAACTCCACGATTGTTCTTGGAAATTGTTGCATTTGCTTGTACAGTACACTGTACAGCCAACCTACCGTGAAACATGTTATCAATCTCACATTCGGTGGCGGTAAAGTCAAGAAATTAAATTCAAAAACACTTACTCCCTCCCTCCCATAATATTAGTCCCTTATTTCATTTTTCATTGTCTTAAAATATTAATCCCTCTTCAAAAATCAAGTACAAAAATAATATAAATTTTCTATTTTGCCCTTCTTTTAAATTCATAAATAATATAAAAAGTACAATTATGACATTGATATTCCCAAAAAAATGTACTATCAAAGGGTAATTTTGAAAAATCAACTTTTTTAAAGTACAATAATTGTACTACCAAAAAAAGTTGAATTCCCCAAAAGGGACTATTATTTTGGGACGGAGGGAGTATTAATTATAATTTTTTATTTTAAAAAAAAATCATGAGCAATATTAAGGTGATAATAATTTTATCTTATTAAATTTTTGTTAAAATTTAAAACCTTCAACAATAAGTTTTTTTTTTTAAAAAAAAAAAAAAACCCCACCAACAATGATTCATACCACTAAAAAAAATATTATTAATAGCACTAATACATTAAGAATGCCATAAAAAAAAAAAACCCTACCCACTGTCACATCATTAAAACACCACTTTCAATGCTCTCAATCATTTTTCGAGACCCCACCTAAACTATTTGATTTACGAATGTCAAGACAAGCTCAAATGAAGCTCGTCTAACTTGATTTGTCCTAAAATTCAGCATTCAAATAAAATTTAAACACTAAAGCTAGACAGTGCAAGTAAAATTATATTACTTTCAGTAATATACCATGAACTAGGTTATTTTAAGCTATCAAAAAACTTAAGAAACAACTACTACAAATGATGACTTCAAAATCCAACCATATCAAATGTGATTTACAAACCTATTCAAAACAGAGTTACTAAACACATGAGAACCACACCAACTACATGAGCAAAACAAAGTTCTAAAAATATTCAATATTTCTTCCTAAACAGAGATATACTAGTTACTACAGTATCAGAAAAAGCAACCACTATATACTAACATGGATGCTCTCTAAGCAAGCATTACAAAAATGCAAAATCAAGTCTATGGTACCCAAAAGCCTAGGTCATAAAATAAACATAGTAATAAGTTATAAGTTAAAAGGCCATACAATGATCAAACACACAAAAACCTCAATCTTTAGTGGTTTTGTTAATGAGGGATTTGTGAATGTGAGGGATGACACCACCTCCAGCAATAGTTCCTTTGATGAGAGTGTCGAGTTCCTCATCCCCTCTGATGGCCAATTGCAGATGCCTTGGTGTGATTCTCTTCACTTTCAGATCTTTGCTTGCGTTCCCTGCCAGCTCAAGTACCTCAGCGGTCAGATATTCAAGAATTGCAGCAGAGTAAACGGCAGCTGTGGCCCCAACTCTACCATTAGCAGCAGTCCTTGATTTCAGCTGGCGGTGGATCCTTCCTACCGGGAACTAAACTCCCTCAAACAGAAACAAACTATCAAAATTAGCAATGGATGCGACAGATATCTCTGAAAGTAAGAAATACTGATTGAGCACTCTCATTATACATAATAAACAACCACAACTATACTAAAGATAAACTTGAGAGAAGATTCATAAGAACTATGGTTTCACATAAGTGAAGTTAGGGAACTAAACTCCCTCAAACGGAAACAAAATAAACAATAATTAGCAAAATTAGCAAGAGATGTGACAGATATCTCTCAAAGGCAATCTTACTATACATAAACAGCAAAATCTGTATTGCAAACCCAAAAGAAAAAGGTTGATTTTTCTAACATCTTCCTGCTTTTGCCACATGTTTATGTTGAACTTCAGAGAATAGTACATGGAAACAGTAGTAATTTTACATAATTAAAGTGGACTGAGAACATTTTAAACAAACAGTGAAAAAAATGTCAGTATGGTAAGATTCACTACTCACGAGACAGACAATAGAGAAAATGAAGAATGCACCAGAGGCGTAGCTTGAATGGTCAACCCGCCGAGATTCCTATCCAAGAGGTCTAACATTTGCCTCCCCATTTGCCCAATTCAAAAGCTTAGGGGTAGCATCTACACCCCAAGTTTACACACCTAGGATGGGTCCAAAGGACCTGCCTAGGCCAAGTTCCCAATCATCAAAAAAGGAATGCGCAAGACACTGGTACTGAAGAACAAATGAACAGCAGCATGCGCATTCAAGGGTTTGTAAATTTTTTTGACTATTAATATCCCAATCCCAGTGTTGAGACTCAAAACAACCTCTATATTTTGTATACACTCCTAATGCCAGTAATAACTACTTGCATGTAATCCAAACATTGTATTAGAACATGTGTTACACATTTCAGTTAAATGCATTATTAATTAAATGTCAATCAAATTTGGTGAGATTGTACATGCATAATAGATTCATCTGAATGAAACTGACAATTCTGAGCATAAAACAAATTTATGGTTAGTTTTTAATTTCAAAAATAAAAAAAATAATAAAAAAACGTGCGCTGTGGGCTTGGAATGAGGTCTATAATGGGATTGCAACAAGTCCTTTTTTTCATCTAGCATTGTGATGTCATGGATTATATTCATGAACATAACAAAATCAAAAACATTAAACCTTCAATCATATATTAAGTAAAATTCCTGATTTTCAAACCCCAGTTGAAATATATAACCACTAAAGAATAGTTACTCAATCACAAGACCTTACAATAATTTCATACTTGTATATCTTATAAGACCCTAATATCATTATCTTAAATCTTTCAATCATTTCAAGCCAAATTTCTAATTTCCATTCTCTTTGTGCCCAAATTCACATAATGTTTGCCAATGAATCCTCCTCCAATTTACACTACCCCTACAACCCAACCCAATGGAGAGAAAAAAAATGTGTGGGCTGTTGGCTTGGAATGAGGTCTATAATGGGATTGCAACAAGTCCTTTTTTCATCTAGCATTGCTTTGTCATGGATTGTATTCATGAACATCAAAAAATCAAAAAACATTAAACCTTCAACCATATATTAAGTAAAATTCCTGATTTTCAAACCCAAGTTGAAATATATAACCACTAAAGATTAGTTAGTTACTCAATCACAGGACCTTACAATAATTTCATACTTGTATTCTTCATAAGACCTTAATATCATTATCTTTCAATCATTTCAAGCTAAATTTCTAATTTCCATTCTATCTGTTCCCAATTTTACATAATGTTTGTCAGTGAATCCTCCTCACACTGCCCCCACAACCCAACCCAATGGACAATCTGAACCAAAAACATGTACACCAAAACATCATAACACTAGTATAGTATATGTATAACAGCACAAACAAACAAAAACACTACTCAATTTAGAGCATATTTTGATGTGAAGAGAGAAAATATTACCTGGAGACCAGCTCGGGAAGAGCGAGAAATAGGCCTCTTCTTGTCCTTCTCCTTCTCTTTGTTTGCAGCTGCTGCTGTTGTCTTTCCCGCCACAAGCCCCTTTCCTCCTTTTCCCGCCATTTTTTTCCCACCTTGATTACTGTTTCCAAAAAATAAAAACTGAAAACGAAAGACAAAAGAGACGCAAAACAAAAACAAAAAATAGCGGATGTTTTTGAGAAATATATGGATAACAGAAGATTAAGGAAGAATGAGAAAACAGATCTGATCTGCACGGAAACAAATACCAATCTTCGGATTTTGCTTTTATATCCAGCAATTGAGAGAGAGAGACCTGAGAAGTTGGGAAGACGATCAAAGAGGGAAACTGGAGAGAGTAATTGAATGCAGTTGCTGGAACTGGAAGATAAGATAAGATACTCTCTCTGTTTGTAAGTTGACTCACCGTCTTTAATGCTCGGTTTTTGAATGTGGGATGCCAAAATGGCGGTTACTTTTGGGTGGGAAAAAAAAATGGCCTCTTGGATTTCAAATTTTTACAACTAACTTCAAATCTTACAGCATCTTTAACTTACTACACATATGTATACTTGTTAGTTAAAATATTTAGCATAATTTATTTTTTTCAATTCTAATGTATTAGGTATATGATTAGATATTTTAACTTAATTCACATTTATTAGCTATATGTAGCTAGCTTTCAAAGGTTAAGCAAAATATACTTAATCATTAGGATCATTTTCCTCTATCTTTATTGTTGATGTAGCATTCTATAAAGTTAATAGTATTTAAATGTATAGCTAAAATAAAAAGTATGGTTAAAATAAAAATATAAAACAGTTAATAGCTAAAGTAAAATGTATACTTTATAATAATATTTAAATAAACAAAGTAAAATGTATGCATTGGGGATGCTCTTATACTAACTGGATTCTACTGCACGCAAGCTCGTTTTGATAATCCAACATTTCGTGATGTTACGCATGGATTTTATTGTTCACTCTATTTGCAGAAAATAATTTATTGATTTAAAGAGATTATAGTGTCACAAAAATACTAAAATTTCAATCGAAAATTTCAAAATTCCAAAATTTAGGAGTGGTTTTAACGCAGCGTTGTAATGGAATGAATGACTAGATATCGTTCTAGTAGACGAAGGGGAAGATATCATTTTTCAGACGGTAACAACTCGAATTCACGAGCAAAGATAAACAATCTTGCGCACAAGGCAAATGGAGAGAACTCTGGTTATATTCTTAAAAAAACTCTTTTCCTTTTCTTTCTATCTCTTTGCCACAGGGCTTACAAACATATTTATACTGACTATTAGATACTCAAACTGTGAATTTCCTAATACAGAAATAAATACTAAAACACTCCCTTAAATTCTTGTACCAAATACAATGTATCAAATACAAAGAACCTAACCTTTAGACATTGAAGAGTTTGAAAGACATGAATACAATCCAATGTATCAATGAATACAAGGAATGAAATGTATCCATTAATTAATTTTCCTTTGAACTTGAACCTGTTCTGCATCAGTCTCCCATTCTTTGAAAGAACTCGTCCCCGAGTTAACTAGAGGAATTGGGATATCTGGAGTCGTATGATACGCAAATAAGTCTTGGACATTGAAAGTTTTGGAGATGGCTAAATCTTCTGGAAGATCCACCACATAAGCATTATCATTGATCTTCTTCAAAATGCGAACAGGACCAATCTTCTTCTGTTTAAGCTTACTGTATGTGCCCACTGGAAACCTCTCTTTGCGCAAGTGAACCATTACCATATCACCAACTTCAAAAGTCTTCACTCGTCGATGTACATCTGCGGCTTCTTTATACTTCGCAGCTGATTCTTCCAATTTCTTTCGAACATCTGCATAAATGTTGGCCACCTTTTCCACCATATGATCAGCAATGATACTCATTCCTGGAAGCTTGGAAAGAGGAACCAAATCTAAGGTATGCAGCGGGGATCGAACATAAACAATCTCGAATGGAGACTTTCCAGTCGAACGGTTTGGCACATTGCTATAAGCAAACTCCGCTTGAGAAATAACAAAATCCCACTACCTTGGACTTTCTTGACACAAACTCTGCAAAATATTTCCCAATGTACGATTCACTACCTCTGTTTGACCATCGGTTTGGGGATGACAAGTAGTACTATACTGCAAAGTTGTATCCAGCCACTTCCAAAAAGACTTCCAAAAATAACTCAGAAACTTGCTATCGCGATCGGAAACTATAGACTTTGGCACACCATGGAGACGAACTACCTCGCGAAAGAATAATTGAGCAATATTGTTGGCATCATGTGTTTTCCTACAAGGAATAAAATGCGCCATCTTCGAAAACCTATCAACAATAACAAAAATAGAATCCGCACCACGTTGTGTTAGCGGAAGACCGAGAGCAAAATCCATGGACAGATTCTCCCAAGGAAATTCTGGAATAGGAAGAGGCGTATATAATCCAGTATTTTGTGCTTGACCCTTCGTAGTCTGACATGTGTAACAACGCTTCACATACCTCTCCACATCTCTTTTCAACTGAGGCCAATAATATCGAGATTCGACCATAGCGATGTTCTTGTCTCGCCCCAAGTGCCCTCCCAAGCCTCCACCATGAGTTTCTCGAATAATGTGCTCTCGCAAAGACCTGCGAGGAATACAAAAACGATCATCAAAGAATAAAAATCCCTCAAATAATAGGTATTTGCTAGATTCTTGAAAACCTGAATTGCACTGTGCCCATGCATCTTTAAAATCCTCATCATCAGCATAAAGCTCTTTCAAATATTCAAAACCAGAAATCTCATTTTTTGCAATGATAAGTAAAGAAGCTTGTCGACTCAACACATCAGCTACTTTATTTAATTGACCAGATTTGTGCTTAAGAGAAAAGGTAAACTTTTGTATATGAGCAATCCACTTGGCATGCATTCGGTTTGGCTTGGTAGCATTCTGAAGATACTTGAGAGCTTGGTTATCACTGTTTAACACAAATTCCCGTTGAATCATATATGGCTCCCAATGGTACAAGCTTCGTACTACTGCATACAGCTCTTGCTCATACGTCGTCCACTTCTGTCAAGCATCACTAAGTTTCTCGCTGAAGAAGGCTATGGGTCGGCCTTCGTGAGAAAGAACAACACCAATGCCAATACCGGAAGCATCACAATCAACCTCAAACAATTTATCAAAGTCCGGCATGGCTAAAACCGATGTTGTGGTCAACCTCTCTTTCAAAACCGCAAAGCTCTGTTCTGTAGCATTAGTCCACACAAATTGCTTATGCTTCATGCAATCTATGAGTGGGGCATCAATGGTATTGAAATTCCGCACAAAACATCTATAAAAAGTCGCCAAACCATGAAAGCTGCATACGTCGGTAATGGACTTTGGGGTTGGCCACCTTAGCCTCATCAACCTTGATCCCTTCGGCACTCACAACATAGCCAGGAAGATCAAGATGTCTGTCAAAAAACTGCACTTCTTCAAATTCACATATAAACAAATACCATCTTCGGATTTTGCTTTTATATCCAGCAATTGAGAGAGAGAGAGACCTAAGAAGTTGGGAAGACGATCAAAGAGGGAAACTGGAGAGAGTAATTGAATGCAGTTGCTGGAAGATAAGATAAGATACTTTCTCTGTTTGCAAGTTGACTCACCGTTTTTAATGCTCGGTTTTTGAATGTGGGATGCCAAAATGGCGGTTACTTTTGGGTGGGAAAAAAAAAAGGCCTTTTGGATTTCAAATTTTTACAACTAACTCCAAATCTTACAACATCTCCAACTCCCTAGACATATGTATACTTGTTAGTTAAAATATATAGCACAATTTATTTTTTTCAATTCTAATGTATTAGGTATATGATTAGATATTTTAACTTAATTCACATTTATTAGCTATATGTAGCTAGCTTTCAAAGGTTAAGCAAAATGTATTTAATCATTAGAATCATTTCCCTCTATCTTTATTGCTGATATAGCATTCTGTAAAATTAATAGTATTTAAATGTATAGCTAAAATAAAAAGTATGGTTAAAATGAAAATATAAAACAGTTAATAACTAAAGTAAAATGTATACTTTATAATAATGTTTAGATAGACAAAGTAAAATGTATGCATTGGGGATGCTCTTATACTAACCGGATTCTACTGCACGCAAGCTCGTTTTGATAATCCAACATTTCGTGATGTTACGCATGGATTTTATTGTTCACTCTATTTGCAGAAAATAATTTATTGATTTAAAGAGATTATAGTGTCACAAAAATACTAAAATTTCAATCGAAATTTTCAAAATTCCAAAATTTAGGATTGGTTTGGAATGATCTAAATAAGTGCACTTTTTGACTTTTTATGAAATATGAGTTGGGTTTGAAGTGATGTAATAGAGAAATGATGTGATTTAAATAAGATGATGTGACTTAAATAAGATAGTAATTTTTTGACTTTTTTAAATTATGACAAATAAGGCCTAATATTTAATTCAAAAAATAGCAGAAGTAAATTGAGATTACCCGTGCTTGAGCACATTTAAGTGGTGCTTCAGAGCACTTGAGCCTTAAATCATCCCCACATCTAGATATTTTAATTAACTGACATTATATTTTTAAATATTCTATGACATGGAAAAAAAATAAATAAATAAAAGGAATCCAACTTTATCAAAAATGTTTGAGAACTTTAAAATAAGAGTTCTAAAGAAACTCTAGTGAGTGAGATCCACTCATTGATTTGATGTTTTAGTTTTTTTTTTTACCTTATCACATTATCAGAGCTCTTGTTAGAGTTCTCTCCGTAGAGCTCTGTATCATCACCGTAACTTTATTTGGTAAAAAGAACCCAAGGCAAGGAGATATGCTCAGTAGGTCCCTAAATGAAATGTACGCTTTATTTGGTAATATATATATTTTTTATTTTTTTTTATTTTAAATCACATACTGAGAGGGGAGATTTGCACCGAACAGTACGGCCGAGCTACGGTAACGCGGGTGCGGCAAACCTCTCAGTGCCGAGCTATCTTCTCAATTGGCGCGGCCCTCCGGCCTGTCGTACACGGCCGAGGTAGTTTGCCCGACCAGGGATGGTCTAAGGCCTAGCCGAGCTGTGACTGCTAGACGTTTGGCGGTAGGCGCGCGTTAGCACGGTGCAACCGAGCAAATGACAGTCCGGAATGAGTCTAGGCCGAGAAGAGGACCAGCACGCTTCACCTTCAGTTAACCCGAAGAGTTTGGACCAGTATGGTGGTCAGCATGCGCCCGACCGGATAGCTCGGAAGCTCGGTCGTGTTCTTTGTGGTTGTGATTTTCTCCAAGGAATAGACCGGTCTTGGTATACCGGTCTGGTGTGCCACTTGGGCCAATGGCGTGAGGGAGAGGAAATCTGCTCCAAGCACGCGTCAGTACCATTTGGCAATTTTGCATGTAC